AGGTGGGCCCCGGCCACGGCGGTCCCTCGTCCGGCCCCGCGACAGAGTCAGGCCGGCTGACGGCCACGCCCGAGCCTCAGACCCGCCTCAGAGCAGCGGGCGGGGCCCCTTCGCGGCTCTTTACCTCAGGCGGCCCGGCCTCCTCCCGAAGCTCCCGACCAGCGGACAGCTCCGAGTTTACAAAATGTCGCCGGAGGTGGACTCCGGAAGGCCCGCCCAGACGCCCTCCCTTCGCGCGGAAGTGCCTCTCTTGTGAGTCCTCATTGGCCCAGACCCGACGCCGCGCGGCGCAGAGCCTTCCGGGTAATGTGGTTCACAGCGCTCCTGGCCCCACCTCCTGGAATGGGCCGGCCGCACGGGGAGGGTTGCTGGGAAGGTTTTCTGGGGTTCTGCGGACGAGCTCGGATTCCCGCTTCTTGAAGGGAACTCACTGAGATTTCCGTGGAATGTAGTCCTCACTGATCTCAGAGATGTATGGAGACATACTACTTCAGATGTTCTCCTAACCTGCAAAACCAAATGAGCACATGCTACCACACTGTGGCTCAGACAAACTGCATCTGTTACCTGCCAGGGTTCTCGCAATTTTTAATCAAGTGAAATTGATAGGTCAGATGAGAAATTCAAGCAAGGTTTTATTGGGACCTCCTGCTGCAGCAGGAGGGAGCAGAAACAAATAACAGGTGCCCTTGTTCACCTCCTTGCTGATCCCTTACATGGGGTGATGGTGGGGACAGATCCTGTGGGGTGGCTCACTTGGTCTGTCCACCCTCTTGGTGGTGCTATGTGCAGAAATCCATGGGCAGTCCCCTGCTTTTGTTCATGCCTTTTTATATTTTGTTCATAATTTGACCTAACTGAGCATGTATGCAGTTTGTTTTTGGTCCCTTATAGTTTCTTTGTATTTTGTTGCTCAGGAAGACATTTGTCCATGTATAAGCCCTGCAGCAAAGAGCCCAGGTCCCAGGTCCCAGCTTGTCTCACCCCTCTGAGGGCTTCTACACCCCTTATTCTTAAGAGTTAAAGAGCCAAAGATCTCTTTTTCTGAAACTTTTCCCCGCTGGACCAGAAAGGACCCCCAATAAATGGTGTATCCAAGGCCACTTCTGTCTATGATTCGGTTACTAGTGTTCAGGATCCTGAATTTAGTTTATTTTTATCAGAGGGGATCCCTTTATGTTTTTCGTGGTCTTGTGCCCTGTCCAGAGTCCTAGAAAGGAATTATCCAAATTAGAAATTCCTCCTGAAATGCCCATCTGAAATTTGTTTAAGGGAGTGGCCTCTTCGATAACTGCCCGTAGTTTATATTCCACTTCTGATTTGATGAATGGCTCTCTTTTGCTGGGAAGCAGGGTAAGTGTAATTAAACCTTGAATACAACCTGGATTGGGGTGCATAGCCCAGTGTCCACCTACAGATTTCTCAGAGGCAGTTTATGCCCTGACTCTTGGTGGCCCTTGCTGTGGTGGTGTGGGGGTTGTTGGGGGTGGGGGCAAGGAAAAAGTATCCCTTAGGGGCACGCACTGTCTCTGGGTTGTCTTAAGCCTGATACAGTGCAGAAAATTTAAGTCCTTAGTAATACAGGAGCGTATCTGAAGCCTTATTCACGATGGTCATCCAGCTCTAGTCTGGATGTATGAACCACAGCTAATTTATTTTGATTTCTAAATGTATTTTCCCTTTATAATTAAGGCACATGTACAATGGATATTAAATAGGCCACAAAATGGCTGTTCTAGTTAAATCATGCTTAAACCAGAGTGACTTCCCCATACCTTAATATGTGAAAGAAAAATTTTTTTTTACCATTTTTCCTGTTTGTAAATCCTTTAAAAGGTCAAAATCTTTGTCCCTCAGTGCCAGGATAATTGCTGCCTGTCCTGGATGTATCATGTCCCTTAGTGATAGGCTAGTTTTGATTTATATATTTTCCTAATTATTCACATTGAAGGAAAACTAATGAGATATTCTGAGCAAGCTCAGAGATATGTTGATGGGGGAAACATCTTAAAGGCTGTACATTTTATCAATGATACTAAACTGTCATACAAACATCCTGCGTTATGCTTTAGCAGCAAGGAGTGTCTCATGCCATGAATAGATAACATTTTATGACAATTTTACTAAAGGATTTTCTTTTTTCCTAAGTATTGGAGCAACTGCACAGTTAACACAATAAATCCTAATTTTTAATAGAGACTGGGCACAGGTCATGAGGCATTTGATCTTCATCTACAGAGAGATTGCAACAATAACCTTCAGAAACAAACTTAGAGTGTCTTCTTAATAATTCAATTAAACTTACAATTATGTAGCATGACAATAAGTGACTATCTCTGAGTCTTAGGCAGCAAATAGAGACCTCAATTAACAGAATCAGAATTTGACATCCACTGAAACATAATCTTTTTCTCTGTAAAATTACTTGCATTTTAAGCAAATATAGTCAATTTCTTATTTATTTGGTTGCAAATTAAATCTGATTTCAATAAACTTGACTTGATTACTTACATAAATGTAATTGACCATATAGATACTTTTAAATTGGCTGTGCTGGAACTTTGCATAAGAAGTCTCAGATTGAACTTTTAAAAGGTCTCTCAGGGCCTGGAAAGCCATGCCAAGGCTTATCACAGAATTTGCCTTACAGATTTGGATGGATTCCTCCCTTTTTGAAATAACCCCAAATTACCTTCAGATTTTTGCACTTCCTCAGTGCCGGGTGGGGATGGTCCCTTAAATTGGATGAGGGCAGGGGTAGCTTCATGGGTGGGGCGAGAGGGGTGGCTTAGGGGGTCTGCCCGCCTCCCTGGTAGTGATCTGTGTAGTGATCCTGCTCAGTACCTTGCTTTTGCTCCGTGACCTCATAAGTGGTAATTGGGTTTTTGGTCTTTTTGTATCTCATTCATAAATTTCCCCAGCTGTGCATGCACATAGTTACTTTTAATCTCATGGTTTCTTTGTATTCTGGTGCTCCAGGAGTACTTTGTCCAGCTGCAAGCACTGCAGCACAGGGTCCCAGGTCCCAGGTCTCAGCCCGTCTCACAAGGAGAGGAGAGACTAGAATCCCACACATTTCTCTTGGGGGCAAGATGCTCCCATTGTACACTTGCTCTGACTATGAAAAGAGGACATGCTGTCCCAGCAGAACAGGGAAAATCATAAATCACTATTTTTTTCAGATACGTTTCAGATTCTTAAAAGAAATGAAAAGTGTCTCAAATATGGAGTAATATACATTGTTTGAAGAAAAATTTTGCTGACTGTGTTCAAATAGAACAACTGACCATACAGCCAGAAACACTGTTTATCTGGAAACCAGAGACATGCTTCAACTTTTGAACCGGTTCTGTGACTTCTGTCACTTTCTCCAACATCCCCACCATGGATCTGTCTGAAGTGTTTTCTTTCTTCTTTTAGGTCAAATATGTTGAGCTTCATTCTACCTGTAATCGAAAAGCGACACCATAGCTGACAGCTATCAGTGGACATAGAATGTCATGGGGGAGGGGTAATTAGGTTAATCAATCAATCAAATCAATTAATTAATGGAGGTACTGAGGATTGAACCCAGGACCTCGTACAGGCTATACCCTACCCACTAGAGTGTTTTTTTTTTTGATATGATGTGTTCCATTGGGTGTATACACCAGGGAACTTGCCGGGATCCACAGTCTGAAATAAGACCCTAAACTTTCTGTGATTATTACTAGACGGCTATCCAGAAACCTGAGTGAGTCCTGTTTAAGAACAAGGGACGTGCCCCCGGCCCCATTTTGGAGTCACAGAACTCCATTTTCCGGCGTCCCTGACAGAACCTATTAAGTTTTTACGAGCCAAATAGGGAGCAAGTTCAGCTCTGACATTTGGGAAGTTTGGTGGCAGCGGAAACTACGTTACCCAGAAGTCTCTACGGTGCGCGGCGGCGAATGAGCCAATGAAAGCTTAGGGGAGGGACGCTCACGTACGTGCGCATGGCGTGGGAGCGGGACTTCCGGCGCTCCTTGTCTGAGTGGCTCTCGTCGTTCACCCGTTCCCGGCCTCAGTGTCGCTTGGGGGGCGCTGAGGTGACGGAGCGGAAAAGCGGGTGGAGAGGCGTTGCCGCCGCTGCCCAGAGGCGGCCGTGAGGTCCCCTGAGCCTGGAGTGACGGCCGTGCCCTCGTTCCCGCCCCTCTCGT